TGTAGTGAGTGCACATAGACGGGAAGTGGCTGACGCTGTAGTGAGTGCACATAGACGGGAAGTGGCTGACGCTGTAGTGAGTGCACATAGACGGGAAGTGGCTGACGCTGTAGTGAGTGCACATAGACGGGAAGTGGCTGACGCTGTAGTGAGTGCACATAGACGGGAAGTGGCTGACGCTGTAGTGAGTGCACATAGACGGGAAGTGGCTGACGCTGTAGTGAGTGCACATAGACGGGAAGTGGCTGACGCTGTAGTGAGTGCACATAGACGGGAAGTGGCTGACGCTGTAGTGAGTGCACATAGACGGGAAGTGGCTGACGCTGTAGTGAGTGCACATAGACGGGAAGTGGCTGACGCTGTAGTGAGTGCACATAGACGGGAAGTGGCTGACGCTGTAGTGAGTGCACATAGACGGGAAGTGGCTGACGCTGTAGTGAGTGCACATAGACGGGAAGTGGCTGACGCTGTAGTGAGTGCACATAGACGGGAAGTGGCTGACGCTGTAGTGAGTGCACATAGACGGGAAGTGGCTGACGCTGTAGTGAGTGCACATAGACGGGAAGTGGCTGACGCTGTAGTGAGTGCACATAGACAGGAAGTGGCTGCAGGACATCGGCACTGAGATGGAAAATAGAATGAAGAAAATGTGAAAAGAGTGTTTTATGATTTTAAAAAAAGTCAGTTGCCTGTTGACACACCTTATGAAACTAAAGCGCTTTGCTGTCCAAGTGTACTGGAAGCCCAGGCCCAGCCACGGGGGTTGTCCATGACGGCCTGGTCCTGGATTGACTCTGGGCATCAGTCAGCCTAGGAGAGGAGCAGCACTGGATTGGTCAGTGGGTGCAGGGTACAACACTCAAGTATTTAATCTGGAGCTGCTGTCACTGGACACTGATATATATTTTTTTCCCACCTTGTAAATGTGGACTAGAACAGAATGGGGGTTACATGAGGTTCTGTCCCGCTTTAATGTATTTTAATATGTGTGCTGCAATGCTTCTATCCCAAAAAACTGAACTAAATGCAAGCCCCCCTCCTTACTGGTGGCACTCGGGTTCCATGTTTAATTTTCCCAGTGAGAGTATTTTAAACATCATTGAGCACTCGTCCTGTAATCAGAATTAGTTTCCTTGACGCATGCATTGAAATGAATTTGCTTGTATAAGTAAACATCTAATGTTTGTGTTTGCCGAGGTCAGGCGGTGGCCTGCATGTCTGGTGGTTGGCAGTATAGGAAGTTGTACATATCCAAGGTTTGGGGTCAAAGGTCTGCAGTGACACCACACTGATGTCACAATGTGGACCTTGGCCTCTTGTTTACGCTTTAGTCAGCGTCTGGTTGCCTGATTAAAAACGTATTCTTTTTTTGCTTTTTCATACTTTGCTCCATTTCGTCAGATTTAATTTCCCTTTTCTTGGCCCCACTTTGGTTCACACCGGGTCGTTTCGGCCGCCATGAATGATCCCATACATTGCTATGGGAACCGTTCATGTGATCGCACGGCTCAGCGCGATCCGGGCCGACTGCTTCCTGCGCTATTTTTGCCTCGTTGATCAGTGCGGTTTCCATACAGCTTTCAGTGGAACCGCACTGATCAGCACTGTTTTGGGTGGTTTTTTTTATTGAGTTTCGGCGCTAAAATGCAATTAAACTCCCCAAACCTCCCTCTTTTTTTTTTTTAAATCCACGCGTAAACCGCGCAGATCCGCAACCAGCTTGTGTGAATGGGGCCTGTCTTTGCGAGCTGGTGGCATACGTTCTTGGTGGAAATGTTTATTCAATACAAAATCCTTCTACAAAACAGATGTTTTTGGTGTTTTCTCTTGTTGAATTTTGGTGGGAATGTCTGGATGTCATGATGGCAGGGGACCTTGGCAGACATTAGTAAGGTCCCTTTCACACTGTCCAATCACAGTGCACGGATCCCCTTCTGATTGGAGCAGTACGGATCAGATATCACCACTGTGACATACGTGTACGTCCATTTGTTTCCTCTATTTTGCAATGGAGGAAGAAACTGAAATGACCGGACCCCATGTCAGTCTATGGGGAATCCGATGTAAACAGACATGTGTCCATTGACACCAGATTACTCCCAATCGATCAGGTCTGCCGAATCGGTTTTCTGATCCTTTTGTCGTTCCAGACCTGGTCAGAGTTGGGGGTGTCCAGCTGTAAATGGTCGCCCGTCTGTTTACACACGGCTGCCTATAAACTTGCATTGGGCATCCCATCGGGTGCACCTGAAAAACTGCCGGGGGCCGCCTGTGTGAAAAGGCCTAGCTCTCTATATTGTTGGTGACTTCTAGTGTTGGGTTTGCTCGGCAGGCCACATGGGGTGATTTCAGACCTGGGAGCTTTGTAGTGAATTATTAAGGGAGAACTATGAGGTGAGTGAAAATCACTCAGCCTCATAGTTCGAGCCGACGTGTGGCAATGAGACTGTCACACGTTGGCTCAATAGATCGGGAAGTGATCGAACACATACCGTCGCTCGCTCACTTCTCGATCCTGTCCCTGCAGAGAGCCGTGATTGTCACAGGGACCCCTGTTAGACCCCTAATATTTCCCCGAAGCCCCTAAAAAGTATAAAATATGAAAAAATTTAAGTTTATAAAAAATGAAATCAAAATAAAATATTTACAAAAAATTTGAAAAAGCTAGAAAAAAACATTTTCAGTTTAGGCTATGTCCCCGTGCGGCTCCCGGGAGCGGCTCGGCGGGTCTCCCCACAATGATCGGAGAGAGACTCAGCGGCTTCCAGCCGCCGATCTCTCCTCCGTTCACTGGACCCGGAAGTGGATGTGTATTACATCACTTCCGGTGTCACTCGTTACAGTCTCCGGCTCTTAGAGCCAGGAGATGAAGCTGGGGAAGCAGATCTCAGCTTCTTTGGGGTCCCTAGGTGACAGGGGTCTGAAAGACCCCTGATGTCTCCATAAAGAGGACCTGTCACACCCTCTCTGCTATTACATAGGGGGCTTGTTAGCGATAGGGTTAGTGTAAAAAAAAAAAAAGTGTTTTAGAAATTAAAGTAACACATAAAAAAATGTTATAACTCCCCCGCACGCACAAACACACGCAAACAGGCGTTGGTTTGCCTACATGCGAACAATTGCACTACAAATCATTAGGGCTGTGCAAATTAACGATTAATTTCTTGATTAAGCGTTAATCTTTTTGATTGATTAAACATTTTTTGATCGATTTTTTAATTTTTTTTTAAAACTCTCTGCACGAGCGCCAGCCAAGGCATTGGCCTATACACATACAGCACAGCAATGAAGTAATAAAATGAACTAGGATCACACTAATCCAGCACGTTATTAATCTGAGTTGCCCCACTCAAGAGGCGGCCATATTGAGTGGGGCACGTCAGATTAATAACGTGCTGGATTAGTGTGATCCTAGTTCATTTTATTACTTCATTGCTGTGCTTTATGTGTATAGGCCAATGTAGTTGGATCTCGATGTGTGTTATAATCGAAATTAATCGATTAAAAAAAAATTTGATTAATCGAACACAAAAATTTTAATCAGTAACAGCCCTACAAATCATACATATCGCCGCAAACGTCAGAGTGAGAGCAATTATTCCAGGGCCATCAATCACTGTTCGCACTAAACTGATGAGCGGTAAAAGCGTTTAAAATGTTCTCTATGGGAAATTTGGGGTATTTACTTTTTTTTTGTGGCTTCACGGGCGAACGCAGTTTTAAGGCTTGACATGTTTGCTATCTGTTTACCCGACGTAATCCCGTCTTTCATATTTTACCCAAAAATTGGGTATTATGTTACCCATTATGTTTCTGTGCACTAAATTTTAATTTAGTTTATTTTTTCCTAAAAATCCTGGTTTGGTAAACATTTGCGCAAAAACTGTGCAACATAAAAAATTGTAAGTAGCATCTTATTTTTTATTTTATAAGGCCTCTGCTTTCAGAAAATATATCATTGTTTGGGGGGTCTGAAGCGGTTTTCTAGCTAAAAAATTTGTTATGTGCGTTCTGGAGCGTCTGAATCATCCTATATAAACCTTGTGACGTGCTGCAAAGGGCATTCATGAGTGTTTCAGCCTGCAGATGTGGACCAACCGCCCTTTATGGGTAACGGGGAAAAACAAAAAGTTTTTATAGGTATTAAAGAACTCCAGGAAAAACTTGTATTAAGCAGCATTAGAACCCCACTGCAAGGGTTAATAAAAAAAAATTCCTGGCGTTCTTTAACATAGATTTGTTGCTTCTCCAGAATACAGTGCCATGCTGCTCCCAGGGAATGGCATCCTCCTGGTGTGAGATACTGCCCCTATTCTAAAAAAGTCAGTGACAAGGCATCTGAATCGCCTAGGTGTGAGCCTAGCCTTAGCTGATCTCACACTGTAGATATACACCTATGATAGTCAAGGCTCAGGAGTGCCTAGGCACATGCAGTTCTGTTTTACCAATGGAATCCAAAACAAAAGGTAACCATTTTCTGGGTACTTCTTGGGCACATTTAACATTTCTAGATGTTCCCTATAAGATGGCAAATCTTCACTTTTTGAATTTGGGTCCAATTTAAGGGGATCATTGCATAGTATATCATTGCTTTGCAGCTGTCTGAATGTAGAGTATTGAACAATGGCTGAGTTTTATATTTGGTATGTTGTGGGTTGTATGCGTGCTTCTTTTAAACAATGAATGAGCGATGTTTTTGGACACCCTGTAATGTCATTACGTATTTCTTATGTTTTAGGCATGCTTTGATTGTTCAGCCAAGAACCCCAGCTGGGCCAGCATCACATATGGCGTCTTCCTATGCATCGACTGCTCGGGAACACACAGATCTTTAGGAGTGCACCTTAGTTTTATTAGGTAAGTGCTGTTTTTGTTTTTACTTTCAGTAATTATGGCTACATCTGCAGAGAACATTACTGCCACAGTTGACCTTGGTAACTATTTTGGTTTTTGCTAAAATATTGAGAATCAGGGGGAGGCAGGTATCTGAACAGGTCAGAGCTGTGACCTATCTGGCTTGGGCTACCTGTACCCCAGCAACATAAACACATTGCGGACCAGAGTGATATTATGAAGACCTGAATCCTGTACTATTTGGTATTAACATCTGAACTATATAAGAACTTTAGTGTAAATTGCTTACCTTTTTATAGGCTATGTCCATGCATAACCCAAATATAACCCCAAACTTCCATATCCTCCTCTAGATCTTGAACCCAGTATCCTTCTTTTTTTTTTTTTTTTTACCTTTCACCTGTAGCAAAATACAAGTTTTAATAGTCCCTATGATGTTATCACCAGGTTGTAAAATTCTTGCAGGGACAGCAGCTGGGGGGTCAGTACCTATTGACGAAGGCACATCCCTAGAACTGCTTCCCCCAAAAGTCTGTTCCCTCCACACAGTATGTGGACAGTCTCCTGGGATTGACTCCAGCAGCATTGCTTTCATAGGAACTAAATCACTGTGTGCATATGGAGACGGACAGTGAGGGGCATGGATAGGCGGAGTTTTGCATTCCGGCAGACAGGGCTGACATGTTTTTAGGATTTCAGTGTAGTACAGGCACTGAGTTGTCAGCACAGACAGGAAGTTAGGAGTACTCTGGATTTCTGGAAGCTCATCAGGTATTTTTCTGTACATGCAGCATTTGTAAAAGGACTGAATTTGGGAAATATGCATATATTGGAGAGTTGGACTGTATATGTGGGTTTTTTTTTTAAATGTATTCTTATTTTGCCCAGACATGCTCTTTAAAACTGTTTTCTAACAGTAGAGGTGTTTGGATCTCTAAATATAATCCTTTCCAATATTATCTTAGTTTTATGGACCTGGCAGGGCTGCTGTTATTAAGATTGGGTGATCTCCCAAGCCAGATGCTGTTAATAGTTTATTGGCTGTGCCCACTTACTTGTAAAATGTATTGATGTGTGCTATGTATGCACTTGGTTTTAAAAATCTTGTTGTACGGAAGAGAATACAAAATAGATTAAAAAAACTTGTGAACGCTAGGGGGGGGATTTTTCAAAACTTGAGCAGATTTGCAGCCAATCGGCTTCTATCTCTCATTTTCAAATCTTACCTGAGCAAACTGAAGAAAGACGCTGATTGGTTGCCATGGGCAACTGCTCCAGATTCTATCTGCTCCAGTTTTGATAAATCCCCCCTTTTTGTTTATCTGGTGTTTCATCACTTGGATTGAAGGGGTGAACTTACAGCAACTGGGTGTAGCTGTGGGATCCTCAGTCCATTTGGTCTTTGCACATTTGTGATTTCATCCATGGTGCAGTCATATGTGCTAGCTAGAAAGTAAACCAATTTATTTTCTGTACCTACACAGGTTGTTCTAGTTACAGCTAAAGTATATGATTGAAAGGACCGTGTATGTTTATCTATAGGTGGTCATTTTTTGTTTTGTTTTGTTTAAAGATCAACTGAATTGGACTCCAATTGGTCATGGTTTCAGCTTCGATGCATGCAAGTCGGTGGAAACACCAATGCGGTAAGTGTGTTTTTATAGTGATGGTTTAAAACAAAACTTAACAGTCTCTGAAACAAAATATCTTGCCTGATGAGCCATTTTTTCCATTATGAGACATAGGAATTCAGTGACAGTCAGGTTACCATGCTGTGCACAGGAGGTTGTGACACTGGCTAAACAAAAACGTCTGTGAGTCAGCCCCTGTATAACCTCTGCTCCACCCTACATGCCTCCAGTTTTTTCTCATGTCATGAAGTTCAGATGCCTTTCCTTCACCTCTGCTGAATTAAAATCTACCTCCTTTTGCTGGCTTTTTTTTTTTTTTTCTTGTGCTATTTTTCCTTCAATCAAGATTCTGTGATACACCACTGATCTTCTTCTTTTTTTTGTCTTCGGTGACTTCATTTAAGATTCCTTGCTGGTCCTTGTCCTGGTCTCTACATCGTAACTGTCTTAATCAGCAGATCCTCAGCAACAGCTTTGGAGGCTCTATCCAGACCCTGCTAGACTGGCTGTTCAGAGTTGGCCCGGAGAGTGACCTTCTGGCACTGGGCTCTGGTGGCAACTTCCAGACCGAAGTGTATTGTTTTTTGGTTAGCTGCACAATGCTTTCTGTGTTAAGAGCTATGGCACAGCCTCTAGTGTGACCCTGTCTTAGTAAGTAAGGCTGGTCAGGCTGAAGCATCGGGGAGCATTAGGGATCTTTCCACACTGGATGCATCTGTGATCAACAGGCACACCACCAAACAGGTCAGAGTTGTTCTCACCCAGTAGTCAGTTACATTTTCCTTTTTGAGCTCTCAGTTTGAACTAACTGGAGAGGCTCCCTGCCCTGTGTTGGCAGTGATTTTTATCTGCCAAACCATATCAGAGTGGATAGCATTCCTAAAAGAAAATCCCTTTTATCACAAGGCAATTCTCTAGAAAGGCTGAAGCAGATGTCTAGTAGCTTGTGCTTTAGTTGTGATGGCCTGGTACAAGCATGTCTACGGCACTAAGGTTGTGTGCGTGAGACAATAATGAGATGTTCAAGAAACATCTGACTTTTTTGGACCTGAATGGGACACCATTATTTGCAACCCCAGATGTGGTCAGAGCACAACAGTCCCTAACGCTCTCTTTCCTTGTAAGGACCTGGCACTTCAGGGTCCTTCGGAAGCACCCAGTCTTGTTCATAGCATTGAACATTATGTTTACCCTAGTGCATTTTAAGGCATCCTCCCTGAAGAGACATGGAGGGGGTCTGTTTTCTGGACTTCCGCAGTCTGACCCCTCTTAATGAACCTAACACCTGCAGGCCTCGTCTGGATGCAGCTTCACAAGTTTCTAGCTTAGGTAACCTTGGGTCATCATTTAGCAAAGTGGTCCAACTTCAGTCCTCCCTAGTGGGAATCCACTGCCTTGTGCCTGGACTCAGCGTGAGCCATACAGATGGTCTCATTGGGTCGAGAAGTTCCAGGCACAACCTGTCAGCTTTCTGCAGGGGATAGTGGTTCCTCCCCCCCCATCCTGGACATTTTTCTCTGACTACTGTGTCCTCATAATTGGGGCTTTGTCTGGTTCCCGAGAACAAACACTTCCTGCCTTGCCTGCAGACCCTCTGTGCAACCAGTTTTCTCATCTGATTTTCTGTTGGACATCACCTACGTGCTGCAGTACCTTCATCTCCAGGAAGGTTTGGGAACTCTCTATGCAACAGGTCAATTGACTTTATCCCTACACTGGCCTGCACTGAGTGCACCACCCTTGACTGCACTGTCACTATTGGAGACAGGGTTCTGAATCTCTAACTGGTGATCTCCACATTAAAAAGTGAGGGTTTAACACCTGGGTTTCTCTTTTGACATTTCTGGATGGTCCGGTATTCTCCTGGACTGCAAGCAGGCAGACCATGTTAGAACCCTATTTCAGACGTGCCCTAAGTGGAATAATGCAAGTCTGAAGGTCTTTGTGGAACTTGGTCACTAGGAGATAGGTCCACTGGGGTTGTTTTGTATCTTAAGGCAGCTGCCTCGAATTCATTCCTCATTCTCCTCACCAATCAGGTTGATCAGGCAGAGGTTGTAGTATTGCTCCAGGGCAGGTTGGAGGTTTCCTAGAATGTGTCAGAGCAGGTTTGCAGGGTTATCTGTTAAACCCCAGGGTATTTGGATGATAGGTGACCTACTCATCCTTCTGGTGCTTATGTGAAATAGTCTGGGTTTCAGTAGGCCCTCATACGTGCCCACCCTTTATATGGCTACCACTCACTCCACTCTTGTCTTGTTACCTTATCATAGTTATTGGTCCCCCTGGGGTTTTTTCTAAGGCCCGGTTCACACCTGTACGTTTTGTAGTGCGTTCAACGCTCTACAAAATGCTCAAACATAAAAATCCCATTGTTTTCTATGGGTATGGTTCACACCTTGCCATATTTCAGCCCGTCTGAACGCGCTACAAAACGGCCTACGCCTGATTGCGGTGTTTTTGTTGCGCGTTTCTATTGGGATACAGACAAGTAGCCTTCGTAAACACGCGTTTGTCGCGTGTTTTTTTTTTTACCGTGAATCGCGTTAAAAACGCGCGTCACGAAATGCGCTAAGAGCACGCATATTCGATACGCCTAGGTGTGAACGGAGCCTCAGACTTGGGAGTCTTTTATCTCTCCATTGTAATAATATGCTGTGAGGGTTCTCATAATCGTGGTATTCACTGGTAGGATAGGTTACTTGCTTGGTCAACACTCAACCTTATCATATAACCTCCTTTTCCCTGATTTCTAAGACTTTAGGTTTTTGCCTTCTTCTGTTGGTCGGCCGTTTTCCTCTTTAAACCTACTTGTTGTCCAGACTTTTTTTTTTTTAGCCTTGGCCCAATGAACATTTGCTGTTGCTTTTTCACCCGGGTTTGGTAGATTGTTGGTTGGCTCCCTAGTCTCTCGCCTGTTTGGTCCCATTGTTCCTTCATTTAGAAGCTTCACCTTGATGGTGTAGGTAGGTTGATTCTCAGTGCCCTCCCCTTGGTTGGAACAGTTCCCTCTTTTAGACTGGATTCAGATGTTTGTCTTTTTCAGGTTCCTCTGAAATATGGTTGGTTCCTAAATTTATCTTTGGGCTTGTCTGTGGCTGTTTCCCACCCCGCAGTTGGGACTGCTTCTAAATTCTTCTTTCCCTCAATTGACTATGTTCTGACGCGCCCTTCCCACCGCCTGTGCTTGACTGTTACCTTATAACCAATGGATTCTTTTTACGCTAATAGCTGGGTGATTGAAATTATGCAGCTTCTCTAGACAGCCCCTTGCCACTTGGATAAAAAAAAAAAAGATTGACTCCTGATTTATTTATTTTTTGCCCTTATTGTTCCTAGGATACTCTAATTCCTGGAATTCTCCATCTACTACACATCCTGTAAATGTAATATATGGTCACTCTACATTTAGTGACATTAAAGTCACAAATGTTTTTAGTAACTAAAACCTTCTTTTACTCACAAATCTGTTTTCTCTCTCAGCTAAGTTGTCTACTAAAACAAAGTGCAAGGTGACCATTTGAGGACACTTTCTATTGTTTTAACAAATCAGATTACAATATTCTTTAAATTGCATTACTTTGGTTTTATAAAATGTTGCTGCTCACTCGTATGCATTTTCCAGTATTAGATTTGACCTGTAGACTTGGAAAGATTTGGTGTCAGACATTTATTTAGGAAGTGTTAAAATCCCTTTTTTTTTTTTCCCCAAGGCACTTTATGTTGGCTTTGAAAGTCTGTGGCACTCTGTATACTTCCCAATACATATTTAGGCCCTAATGTGCTGGGCAATAGTGATTTCAAGAGAAGTAAGCATTAAAAAAAATAAAATAAAAATCAGATTCTAAATAACTAAAATAACTTTAATAGAGGGTGATATTCTATGTGAAGAGTTTAAGTATATGTTAAGTCCATATTTTGATTTGTTTCAGATCTTTTCTCCAGTGTAGTCTTTGTTGCAGGTTTGTTTGCCTTGGATTGCATTGTATTGTGAGCATGCTGGTCAGTGAATCAAACACTATTTCTTGGTTCCAGGCACATTAGATAGATACACCGAATAGTGGACGTCTACGACACTCTTTAGAATTCCGTTGTGCATCTGCATGGCAAAGGTCGGTGTTTTCCCCAGACATGGCGCAACCACTGCCATTTGTGGTGCACTGAGGCCAGAGTATACTGGACAATCCTTCCTCCGTGTAGCTTCTTAACACTGAGCCTGATGAAATTGCAGGCTTAGCATCACTGAGCTCTCTGCCTCGCCCAATCACACAAATGGGTGCAAAGGCCGAGGACTTATAAGGTGGCTGGGCAGAGCCTGATTGGGATGCTGAGTTTCCCCATTAGGGTCCGCTCTGCTGCTGATTGACAGCAGGCAGGGGACAGATTGACAGCAGGTAGAGGATGGTTTCCATAGCCAATAGCAGGTTCTCTTTGAGCAGGAATTCTGATCACATTTTGAAATATACAGATGTATGGATAGTACTTGTTAAAAGAAAAAGAATTCGCTTACTGAACATATACTGTGGTTTCTCGTGAAGGAAGGAACTTATAAATTGCATTCTTTTTATTTTTATCTGGTAATGAATGGCTCACACTAAAATTTCTCTGCAGTCATGATCAGGCATGTCACATTTTAGCACTCTGGCTCTGAAGAAACAGTTGTGTGCTATTTAAAAACAGAAATATATGAATAGCAACACTTGTAACTTCAATGCACTTAGCAATGGTGATGGTGGGTCATGTCTTGATGTCATTCTGCAGCATGCTGCGTGGTAATCTGTCTTGTACACGCCTGCCTTATGATGTATTTTGCATGAGTTTCTTGTTCTCCAGTATTTATTACACTGCTGAGGAATTTTTTGCACTTTTGACATTTTTCTTTCTTTCCACTGTAGACCATCTTCTTTCGACAACATGGCTGCACCACAAGTGACACAAATGCGAAATACAACAGTCGTGCAGCAAACCTGTACAGGGAGAAAATCAAAACACTCGCATCACTAGCAACAAGGAAACATGGCACTGACGTAAGTCATATGGAAGACTAATAAAAGGTTGACGTTTATGTTTGCCTTTGAACCAAACCTTTAGTACATCTCTACGATAAATGCAGATTTCCCCATGCTGACAGCTGGGTATGGCTTATATCTCAAGCTGGTCCTTCTAAGTGCTTAGTTTAAGCTGATGCATCTTTCCTATTTTTTGCAGCTTTGGATAGATGGCTCTGGAGTCCCACCTCTGTCTCCGCAACAGAAGGAAGAAGATTTTTTTGCTGCACACGTAGAGGTATTGATGAAGGGGCATGTATAATCTGGGAATGCACATCATTTTATGAAATTATTCTAAGCGCTTCTATCTTACTGACATAAAAAAAGGTATAGTTAATACCAAAAAAAAATGTGGGGTTGTAGATATGTTTTAGCAATATTTTTTACTTGTTGAAAACAATTATAAACTTCTACCAAAAAAAATGTCTTAATGTAACCTTGAGCACTGATATTTCTCTTTTTGGTTTACTAATTCTGTATTTCTCTCAGCAGGTCAGTGATACAAGTAACACGGACTGGACACGGCCTTCGATGACATTCGAATTCTCTCAGAATCCTTTGGAACACGTCACTGAAAGCAAAGAAGGTATAATTAAGGGGTCCTCTGCTGACAAGCAGACGGTGATTTATAACTTGGCTGTTCCTTCTGGCAACCAATAGGAGAAATTTGTCTTTCTATAACCTGAACTGGGAGATAACTGAAACCAGATTTGCTGCTGTGGGCTTCAAGTAGGCCTGAATGTAAAAGACCCACTGGACCTGATCATTCAGATGCTTATTAATCTTTACTAGGGATGCACAGATACCGGTAATACGGTATCAAGTACCGATATTTTTTTTTCGGTACTCGCCGATACCGAAAGTCCCTATAAGGAAGCCAGGCAGCATGTAATGATTCGCCACACGGCTTGCAGATTAGCAGGGAAACCATCCCCATGCTGCTTGTCACTATGTGACGAGAAAGCATGGAGCCGGCTTTCTGGCCAATCAGGAAGCCAAGCTCAATGCTCCCTCATCATAGTGACGAGAAGCATGGGGACGACTTCCCTGCCAATCAGGAAAGCCGGGCAGCGTGTAATGACTCGCTGCCCGGTTTCCTGATACAAGAAGAATCGGGCTAGGCATCAGAACATTTGGGCGAGTACTCTCCCAAAAACACTCGGTACAGATACTGGTATCAGTGCATCCCTAATCTTAACTGAACATCAGTCTGAAGGGCATTAGTGGCAGCTAGCAGTTAAACAGTTACACTATATGGCCAAAAGTATGTAGACACCGCACCAAATGGTTGAGTTCATATGCTTCCAGTGAAGGGTACTGTTAATGCCACGGCATACAAAGATAATTGTGCACTTCCAAAAGTATGGGGAAAGCTCTTTTCTATGCTAGCAAGACTGTGCCTCTGTGCACAAAGCCAGCTCCGCAAAGACATGGTGTGACTAGTTTGGTATAGAGGAACTCGAGTGGCCTACACAGAGCCCTGACCTCAACCCTACTGAGCACCTTTGGGATCAATTGGAATGCTGATTACAAGCCAGGTCTTCTCATTCAACATGTACTCAAAAAAACAACAATGGCCATGATTCCGGTAGGGGATAACCAATAAGTCCATAAAGGTGTGATGGTCAGGTGTTCATAAATTGCTGTTCATGTTTTAGCAGGCCTCGGCATTTAGCAAAATGAGCATGGCTTGATGCCTGTTAAGATTCATACTTGCATCCATTCTTAATGTTGATATGTAATGTTTGTGTTAAGTTTCAGGTGATCCAGAGATTGGACCAAGTGTGGATTGCCTGAGTGCGTCTCCAAAAGCATCTTTAGGTAACGCAACAATTCCATTTTCATTACACATGCAGATACATAATATATTTTTGTTATGGTATAACATGAAGTTGATCAGTACACCACCCTCCCCATAGAGCAGGGGCACCCACAATTTTTCGTCTGGAGATCTACTTTTCAAATGACGAGCTCAATGAGATCTACGAAAAAACACCTGCATTCAGGGGCAGGGGGGGCATGGCTGTGCATTGTCAATGGCACCGCAGCCAGGCCTCTCGCCCCCAGTGTGGTCGCCTGCACGCGAAACCCAGGCACATTAGTGCCTGCATTCAGTCCAGTGCGATCCGCAAAAATGCGAGCACTATTTTTGCAGATCGCACTGGACCGGAATGCAGGCACTAACGTGCCTGCGTTCCGGGTGCGGGCAAAACACTGTGGGCGAGGGGGGCATGGCTGCGGTGCCATTTGACTTCAATACAACCCCACACCCCCTCCCGCACCTGAACGCAGGAAGTTGGCCGACCTACATTCCAGTGCGTCCTAGAGGCCCCGTTGTGTCTTTTTTCAGTTCTCACAAGAGCAGGAGGTGAGGGGAAATCTTCCAATGCGCACACCTGTTCTGGAGACAACTCTCTTCTTACTGCCTGTTACATTTCCAGAACAGGAAGAAAAGGAGGTTTAACCCTTTCTTACTTTGTCCAAAACTAAAAAAAAAAGTTGGCCTTAAATATATAAACATTTCATTTTTAGTGGCCCTAATGTATGCAAACAAAAACCTTCAGGAGCACCAAAGCTAGCACATGATAAATATACACGAAGTGGTGGAAGGTGGAATGCATCTTTCTGACACTCTAATAGAGAGGTAATAAATATTCTTGCAACATAACTATCCAGCTAACAACATATAGCGGTGCAAAGTTTTATAGTGCCGGTTCCATTCTATGATGATCTGTTGCTATTGGAAGGAATGCTGTTCACAGCAATCTCGGAATGTAGAGACCTCTGCATCCTATCGGGGGCATTTATAAAATATTTAGAGACTTAAAAGGAAAGCATCATAAGCAGAATACTTTTGAGGAACTTCAGAAAGAAGCTGCTATTTAAGTCAGGCGGCATAAATTATTATCTCTTTATTGGTCTTTTTTTGTTTTGTTTTTCGGCTTGGCAGCATTCCTATACTTCCCCGAAACCCCACTCCCTGGCAGCCTGCAGAAAATGAGGACCGCTGGCCAACTTCAGCGGTCACATTCACCCCCTGGTCAGTGACAACTGGTATGCGCCAACCAGCAGAGGCCGTGAGTGTTGCTGTTTTGGAGCACAGTAGTTGTCACTGTGCAAGGGAGTGTGTCAGACTGCCAAAGATAGATCACTTCTCTCATACTCACACAGGGCAATCCTCGTCTTCAGTGGGCTGCCAGGGAATGGAATTTCGGTATTGTGAAGAGCTATTAAGCAAAATATTACATTGAAATGTTGATTTGGAGCCAGATCTTGTTCTCCAACCTCGGCACCTGACCTCTTTTGGCTGAATGGGCATGAATTGACAGACAGTCCAAAATCTTGTGGAAAGCCTTCCTAGAAGAGTGGAGCCATTATAGCTGCAAAGGGAAGTGGGCAGCTCATTATTAATGGTTTTGGAATGGTAGTACATTCTTTAATGGAATTTAATATACAGAAGTAGTAGAAATATAGTCTTTCATCTTCATAGATTTTATACATACCTCCTATATACTGACAGTACCCTCATGGCAACTAGCAAAATATGAAATTCCTCAGTTTGTGTAGACTTAAAGGATAACTATGAGGTGAGTGATTTTCACTCCCCTCATAATCTGAGCCGACCTGTGACAATGAGACTGTCACAGGTCGGCTCAGTGGATCGGGAAGTGAGCGAACACATACTGGCGCTCACTCACTTCTCGATCCTGTGCCGGCAGAGAGCAGTGACAGGGGAGGGTTGTAGCTCGCGATATACTGAGCTTTGGGTGACGGGAGGGCGCTAGTTTGTGTCCTCCCGTGACCCTTAGGAGATCTATGGAGAAGAGCCCTAACCCCATAGTTCTCCTTTTAATTCAGCAAGATGGATATGAAATATTATTGAAAGAGTTAATTTTACTTTTCATCTTTCAATATTGAGTTTCCCAGAAAGGCATCGTCGGAGTTTTGGTTAATGCCGCATAAGTGTGTTCACTGCCACATAAAAGGAATCACTTAAAAGGGTGTTTAAAGTGCTACATTTTGCACGGGTGTCTCTTTCAGCACGGCATACGGGGCTGACAGTCAACTCATACAGCACACACGGTGTAATGATGGAATTAAATTTGTGGTGTGAGTCCTCAGTGCCGTATGTTCTGCCATTCATTCTGTAGGGCACAAAATGGGCAGGCTGGCGAATTCTGCCACACATCATACATTTCCTGTGACATAGACATTTGGGTAGGTGCTGTCGCCCTGGAGTTATCCCATACACTATTTCTGCGTTACATAGTGATGATTGCTCATACCCTGTTCATTGGATGAAATTTGAGCACAGGAATCAATTCTATAAGTAATTCTTGCTGCAAAGTTGCATGGCTTAATTTTGTCTGTACATTTGTACCTGATAACCTATAAATCTTGCTTTGCAGAAGTCAGTTCCTCGCTGATTAAGAAGAAGACTGGCCCAGCCAAGAAAGGGGTAAGCCATGTTATGTTGTATTCTTGTACTTGCTATGTTTCTGTTAATATAAAACACATTTCACTTCAAATTCAAAGTACATATAAGCCCAACCAATAAAATCTCATATAAACTTTTAACATATTAACCCCTTCGTGACTGACGAGGTACAGTGTACGTCGCCAGCATCGGGGCTGTTTAAACAGAAAGCCGCCGGGACTCTGTTTAAACTTGTAAAGCCGACTGTCGGCTTTACAACAGAAGCGATTCTGGCGACTTACCTGTCGCCAGATCGCTTCTGTGTCCCGAAGGGGCCGCCGGACACCGCCGCCGTGCTTCCCGGGCTCCGTTGCTCCTCCCACGGGCCCGGGACCGGCTTCCTTGGTGTCCATGGGGAGCGGGGGAGGAGATCAACGAACTTCCGTTCATCGATCTCTTCCCCGTTCTATGGGACCGGGAGCGATGCAGATTGCATCACTTTCGGTCCCTGGTCTGTCAGTTCTGGGCTCCTGCAGCCCAGCTATAAGCTATTGAAGTGCGATCTGCACTTCAATAGCTTATTTCTAGTGTAAAGGTGAGACTGGGGGTCTTTTGGACCCCCCCAGCATCATTTTAAAGAGTACCTGTCACCACCATCTGCTATCACATGGGGGGGCTTGTAAGTCCCCCTATGTGATAGCAGTCAAAGTACAGTAAAAAAACAAAAACCGTTTTTAAAATGAAATAAAATAAATCTAATAATAAAAAAAAATGTAAAGTCGCCCGCGAGCACGCGCGTCGCTGCGTAAACACGCGTCGTGTGCGCCTACGTATGAAAACGACGAACGCGCTACACATGTTTGGTATCGCCGCGCACACCAGAGTGAGAGCAATAATTCTAGGGCCGGTATTTTGGGGTATCTCTAAATTGATGACCTGTGGGGGCTTTTAAAGCGTCTTCTATGGACTTTTTGGGGTACTGCAGTTTTTCGCCGTTTCACGGACGCACGCAATTTCTAAACTGGGCATGTTGGGTATCGTTTTACTCGTTGTAACCTCCTCTTTTATATTTCATTAAAATAATAGGTATTTTGTTGTGTTTTGGGGCATTTAATTAAATTTGTCCCTAAATTTTGGGGTTTAATAAGGAGTTGTGCTAATATTGCGCAACATAAAAATTTGCAACTACCACCATTTTATTCTATAGGGTCTTGGCATTCAGAAAATATATAATGTTTGGGGGGTTTTAAGTCATTTTCAGGCCTAAAATGTGGAATATAACATGGGTGCAAATGAGAAAAAAAAGGCCTCAGTCATGAAGGGGTTAATGTAATTTTCAAACCTCATATAAACATTGTGCAACTTTCCTTTTAACATAATTGCTGGTGAATCTGTCATGAAGGCCCTTGTTCAGGAACTTCCTGTAATAGGGTGACAACACTCCTTATCTCTCAGTTGCTCTTCTGAGTTGTCATCCTCTCACTTTCCACGCTGAAGCACATGAAGGCCGTGACACACTGCACGTGAAGCAGCGGTGCGCTGCCTTTGCGAGCAGTGTGTCATGTCCTTTTCTTCTCGGCACCTCAGCTGGCGAGAGCTCGCGGGAGCTGAGTGTGCCGAGATGAACAATTTCAACTTCAGCCAATCGTCTCGCGCGTATAAACCGGCGCGACGGGATGCGACGTCTGGCTGGTTGTTACGGACGAGCCGATTGGCTGAAGGTGCAGTCAATCATGTGCCTGCACTCAGTTCACACACTGCACGCGAAGCTCGGTGCCGGACAGCTTTGCTTCGCTCTGCACGGCTTCGCGTGCAGTGTGTCACGGCCTTTACACAGGCATGGTCCACTTTGGTCGCCATCGAGAAACCGGTCCTGAGAAATGCCATGCACTCATTGCTGGAGTACATGTAGACAGGAAGTTTTGATTTTATTCAAAACATATGGCTGCAAAGTACACAGGTACATTATCTAACTTACCATACTGCATTGGGAGATTGTGGGGAGAGATGTGTTTCTCCCTGTGTTCTCCTACATTGGTAATCTGTGAAATCTCAATCATGTAGTAGCCTGAGATTTCCACAGTAATGAATGCAGCAATGCAAGGACATCTTGTGTCACCTAATCCATTATATTCAGTGCAACTTCTGGGATGGATTGCAAATCCATCCATGTAAATTTGAAAATCAATTTAGCAGGCACCAAGGAGGAGGGACCACAAGCTAGATGCGGGTTGCTAATGACATTGCACATGTACACTGTCACACAATCTATGCATACACACATCACATGCCCCTCAGCATACACTACAAACCTGGAATTGTCCTTTTAAGTTACAGGACACTTCAATCGCACTTTAACAGATTTAAAGTGCAACTGTTCTTTGCCAATGCAAGACCCATGTCAGCATCTGCAAATACTTAACCTCTCTTGTCTTTCCTTGGTGAATGAAGCACTGAGGGAGCAATATGACATACTTGGTACTTGTGGTTATGGGGCAACATATGACTCTCTCTCCCCTTCCATACGACAGGACTGGCGCTAGGAAACCGGCTGTTAATGCGTCCAGCACTCTCTATGTAAGCACCAGGTTACTATTCTGAGCTCATTCAGGGCTGCTTCTATTAGTTTCCACAGTCTAAAGTGGTGGGGGAAGGAAGGGAAGATAAGCATAAGCAGCCTGTTCAGTGGTGGCATCAAAGTGAACCACATGGGCAACATTCATGGTTGCTTTCAGTAAAAACAAAAAGCTTTCGATGGACTTTTTTTGCTTCCTTTTGATTGCCCAAAAAATCCTCAGCTGCTTCACACCAGATAGCAACATCTCATGGCAGCAATAAGATATACCCTAGAACCTCTCTCTTTTTTTCTCTTTCATTTAAATAATTATTATTCTTGTTGTAGCTTGGTGCCAAGAAAGCAGGCATGGGAGCTCAGAAAGTGAGTGGAAAAAGCTTCAGCGACATTGAGAAGCACGCTCAGGCTGTAGATAAGCTGAAGGAGCAGGAACTGACCAATACCACCAAGAAGACAGATGAGCCGGTGTGAGTATTTTTACTGAGGAAAGGAGGGAGCTGTCGATCTGATCAGTAGCCTTGTGTATTTAAAAAAAAAAACATGCTTTCTATTGACCGTTTTTGTGATGTTCTTTATTTATAAAAATTGTTAAAGAATTAAAAAACAAAACCGGCTAATGCAGGAATAGGAAAATTTACTTTAGTTACAGTGTGCAGACCTGTGAAATACTTTATTTCTATCTGGATTTAAAGGACAACTGTATGTTCTTTACCAGTTGTCTTTTAAAGTAACATTTAAAGGCCCACTGTAAGCTCTCATGGGCAGGATCCCCCCTCTTTACCATCTTGTCTTAATTTGTATTGTAACTAATGTCTTCCTTATATTGTAAAGTGCTGCGCATAGTGTTGGCGCTATATAAATCTCTATAAATCCTGAATAATCCTGCCAGTAAAACACTTCCTGCCTTCAGTACTTATTCACCGTACTGTATGGAGGAGCAAAATAAACTGGTACTTACTTTCTTGGAAGGCTAAGGGTTGATATTTAGTATCTTTGTCATGGTTTATGGCTTCTTGCTGTTTCAGGGTCACTTCTCTACGCCTGGCCTACCAGGAGTTGGAAATCCAGAAGAAGAAAGAGGAAGAGAAACTGAAAAACATGCCCGCTGGCAAGAAAGCAGAAGCAGACCGTCTCGGGATGGGATTCAGCGGCCGCAGGTGAGAAGACCCCTTTTGTGACTTCTGCTTTGTCAATTTCTAGGCACTTTGTTTAGCTGAAAGTTTTGTGTTCTACCAAAAATGTTTTGTTTTTTTTCTTGTTATGATTAGTTGGGCTATTCATTTGTAATGTGTTTTTTTTAATTGATTATTACAAGATCCTTTTTTAGTCTGTTGGCGTTATAAAAATCCTGTATATAATAGTCTTTTTTAATGTGTAATGTTGTGTTTTTTTATTTGCATAGTGGAATCTCTTTTTCAGTCCTTTCTGAGATGCAGAATATTGAGATCCTTTAGATTGTAAGCCCTCACGGGCAGGGCCCTCCTTACCGTCTTGAATTGTATTGCAACTATAATGTCTTCCTTTATATTGTAAAGCGCTGCGCAAACTGTTGGTGCTATAAAAATCCTGAATAATAATGTCATTTTTCATGTGTAATTTTTTTTTTCCTTATTTGCATAGTGGAATCTCTCATTCAGTCCTTGCTGAGATGCAGACTATTGAGCAGGAAGCTCCAAGGAACTCCAAACCCAAAAAGATTTACCAAGAGGAGGAGCCAGATGACTTCTTCTCCAGTTCCTCGCGGTCTCGGTGAGACACGATTTATTATTCTTGTCTGCCAGTTCTTTAGGGCGATGCTTGTATACTATGTATACTACAACATGGGGTATTCTAAAGCTCTAAAAGTCACTGGCTTTCATAAATTATTAGTCTGAGCGAGATCACCACTGGCAGAGGAAATCAAAGCATTAAGGTGTTTGATGTTGTTGGTTTTTTTTTTCTAGTATAATTTACTGCTCTATGATGTTTTACAGAACAGTAAAATGGTATGTAAGGCCAAACTTTTTTTTTTTTAGTAAAGTGTTACTGGGGAGGGTTAGAACCCCTATCGGGTTTTTATTGCTGTCTGTGTGCTGAGGAGATTCATCCTCTCTATTTTCCCTGTTGACCATTGCCTCCAGTATGGCAAATGGTGGCAAATCTGACATTTTTGGGCTGTCGCAGAAACAAGAGTTAAGGTGACATTTTCTAAACGGTACACCTGGTACATTGATGAATGAGAGATTTCATCTCGCTTTGGAGAGATTTTCTTGCTTCCAGTTGTGTGCCTCTTACAGGAAGTGAAGGAAAATCTCCCTGACAGATCTAAGATGGCAAAAAAAAATTAGAGGGATCTTAACCATTCCCTGCTCTATCCAAAACAGAAACAAGTTTTGGCCTTGCCTACACTTTACAAGTGGAGTCTAAAAGTGACCTTGCTCTTTGCTGCTTGTCTGTGCAGATACCGGGAGGACTCGCTGGACCCTGTCAGTTCTTCTTTTATGAAGTGGGATGAGAAGTCGGATGATTTTTGGAAGAAAGATACGTCCAGCGCTGATTTCGATATAACATTTAGTTCCAAATCTGCAATCCGCTATGATGACAGGTACAAAAATCTTCTCGTCGCCAACAGTCGCAGTTGGGATGTTACAATGTGAACGAAAAAAGAGTGACAGGGAAACATATATTACACAGATAAAGGTGCTAGCGAAAGGTCCACAAGGATGGTTCTCTCACTATTGATCCTGCACTGTCCCCCACAGTTCCTCTTTTTGGCCACAAGATGTCCTCATTTCCCTGGTCTAAATGACACCAAGCGTCACTTAAAGTGACATTAAACCCTCAGATTTTTTAACATATACTGTAATGTGCGCCTTACTGTAATCCATGGTTGTTTCCCTTCTCTTTGCTGCTCTTCCTTTTAAATCTGTATCTGTTCTCATGCTGGGCAGAACTTCTGTTTTGCAGCAGACTGCCTTGTCTCAGGAATGGATACACTGTGTCTGTGTATACGTTTCTATAGACTTGTAACCTGAGCCAGCACTACAGGAAGAGGCACTCAGCTGAAAAGGGAAGTTCTTCCCAAGCATGAGAAGACATGAGGATTTAAAAGGAAGAGCAGCAAAGAGAAGGGAAACAACCATGGATTACAGTATGGCGCACATTACAGTATTGGTTTATGTTAAAAAATCTGAGGTTTTAATGTCACTTTAACCTGCATAACTGTGGACTCTATTGTAAATGCAGGCCATCATGGCCCTGCCCCTGAGGGGTGCCACCATGGCACTGTTCAGTTACAGGGTACTGGTACAGAGTGATGCTGATGTCTGCATCTAAAAGGACTGCTCAGTCCGGAGAAGAGGCGAAGATAAAGAGCATCAAGTGACCAGCCTAAAGACTATGGAAAAGGTAAGTATTAAAACAAAAACTGCATAAGCTACTGGCAGTGGTGCCACAAGGAGAGGGGGTTGATTAGGGTGGGGAGCCTGGAGACAGGCTTTAAAGGTAAATCCAAGGCAGCTATAAAAAGACACAAAGCATTCAATGTATTTTTTTTTTTAAATGCAGTTAGTTTAAGTACCGGGATTTGACCAGGTAGCAGCCTCTTGCACTCTGGGAGACTGGGAGACAGAGGGTTAGTATTGGCATCCAGGATCAGGTTAGCTGCATGCAAAAATATGCTGATAGGGAACATGGTGATAGGAGTGGAGAGCAGAGGGATGTTCATTTATTGTCCAGTAGGAAGGCTGGGGGTGAAGAAAGGACACTATGTACATCTCAGAAATACAAATCCCTTGCATGTAGTTCATTTGTTTAGCTGTTTGTCTGGAAAATCTGACACGTGTACTCATAACAGAGTTGTTCTTTTGTGTGGAGTAGCAATTTAAGTTTGTGGTTCCCTTTGTGTCTCAGACCCGCCACTCGCCGTAAGCACGACATAGAACCGGTCCCCGTTACAGACGACGCTCAGAAGAAGTTTGGAAACGCCAAGTCCATCTCCTCTGACATGTACTTCGGAAAGCAAGACAATGCCGATGTGAGTAAATGGTGTCCGCGCCCTGAGGGGATCATTTCGTACGCAAATGGAATTGAACTGGTTACAAATCTGTGCAATTCAAGGAAGGGTATTCTGTAGGGATGCATTGATACCGTTTTTTCGGTATTGAGTACCGATACTTCTGGTACTTGCCGATACCGTAATTCCCATTCAGGAAGCCAGGTGGCGTGAAATGACACACCACCCGGCTTCCCGATTAGCAGGGAAACCATCTCCATGCTTCTCATCCCCATGTAGCCGGCTTTCTGGCCAAATCAGGAAGCCAGGCGCAGTGTAATGACGCGGCGCCCGGCTTCCTGACTGGCCAGGAAGCCGGCTCCATGCTCCCCCCTCATGAGGTGACGAGGTAGCATGAAGCCGGCTTCCCGGTCAATCAGAAAACCGGGTGCCACGTCATTACACAGCTCCCGGCTTCCTGATTGGTCAGCTTACGACCAATCAGGAAGCTGGGCAGTGAGTCATTACACGCTGCCCAGCTTCCCGATTGGCCGGGAAGCCGGCTCCATGCTCCCTCGTCATAAGTGTTGTGATGTCATCACCAGGCTTATAAAAGGAGGTCTGTTGCTACTGCATGGCCCCAGAACTACACCTACCAAGAGCCCTTACCCTACACACAGTTTTTGGGCAGGTTCTTGAGAGTCAAAGCAGCTGGGAAAGAAATGAATGTATGCATGTGTAGAGAGGATAGTTGGAGTTCTGTAGTCCATCAGGCCGGGCTAATAACATTGCTTGGGATTTCGGTGCGAAAGTGGCACTGTGGTGTTAAAACAAATAGGGAGTTAGAACACTGGATTTCTGACCCAACGGGTATTTTTTTTTTTGTACTTGCAAGGATTTAAAGGGATAAAACATGGGGAAATGTACATGTACTGAATCTTTATTTTTTAAAATCTATTTTGCCCTGATATTTACAATATGACAGAAGGGGGGAACTGGCTGCATTTAGAAACCTTGCCAGTGACCGAGCACAGAGCTACACTTTTAGGCAGATTACTTCCATGCCTGGCCACTAGAGGGCACTCCATTTGTAGGATTTGCAGCACAGCTATGGTTTCAAAGTTGTATACTAGCTTTTCCAAACTTTCTGAAAGTAGACCTGTATTTATGGGTCACTGGTTCATAAAAGTACCACTGTGAGCATTTTACGTGTCTCTCTCCTTTTTTTTTTTTTTAATGTGGAATGGAAACTGTTTGCATACACCTTCTGAACACATTTAATAACTTTTTGTCATCGGCAAGCTTGATAAAGGAAGACTTTCACTGCATCAGTCTTGTTTCCCTTTTTAGATGTGTGTTGCCTGCACTACAGCATTACGTTTGAGCATTTTGTTTGACATTTTTGACTATAAATCCACTTGAATTAAAATATTCACCTCCAAATTATAATTCAAGTCTTAAGAAACCGAATCGTCCATGTCTGTACAAGCTTTTTCCAGGTGTAAGGGTTCAATTCCATTGTGTGCTCTCAACCTTGTGACAACAGTTTGGGGAAGGTCCTTTTCTGTTCCAGCTTGACTGCGGCCTGTGAAAGGCCAGCTCCATAAAGACATGGCTTGACCAGTCTGGTGTGGAGGAACTCAAGTGACCTGCCCAGAGCCCGAACCTTAACCCTACTGAGCACTGGTGAGTGATGATTAGGAACTCTGATGGAGAGTCAGGTCTTCTCTCACAACATTGCTACCCCACACCTTGGCTGAATGGGCACACATTCCTACAGACACACTCCAAAATCATGTGGAAAGCTTTTCCAGAAGAGTGGAGACTGTTAAAACCTCAAACCAGGGAGGGGGAGGGCAACTCCATATTGGTTCCCAATTGCTTTGGAATTGATTGCCCAACAAGCTTATCTAGGTGAGATGGTCAGGTGCTCACAAACTTTTATGCATATAGTGTATCATTATAAGAGATAAGAGATACCGGGAAGGCTTTGCCCACCTGGTTGAGTTCTTGCAGTTGGTTGCCTTTTGTGAAATAAAGATTAGGTATTTGTCTTCATCTGCAGAGCGATGTCAATCATTTTTCGAGCCTGCAGTACAGGGAGCCAGCCACGAGTTCACAATCAACATCAGTACCTGACCTCACAAATGCTCTTATGGCTGAATGGGCACAAATTCCCAGAGACACTTCAAAATCTTGTGGGAAGCCATCCCAGAAGAATGGATGCTGTAATAGATGCAAGGAGGGAGGGTGGCAATTCAATATAAATAGCCCTGGTTATGGAATGGGATGTGCAGCAACCTTGTTTTGGTGAGGTGGGTGTCCACAAACTATTGGCCATATAAGTTTTTATTTTTTTATTTTTTTTTGTTTTAAACCATTTTTTTAAATTTTTGTAAAATTTGTCAGCAGTTTCAATCCCAAACCCTTTGTTCGGTTCCTCATCAATGACCAGTACACGAGAGTTGGCAGGAGCTGAAGATTTTATAAAGAAACAAACTTGAGACAGATTTCGGCCTTAGCTATAAACAACTGTTTCTTTCTCAAGCCCATAAACATGCCATAAAGTCTTCTGGGAGTGATATACAGTAATTGTAAAACATTCCTTTTGTAGATTAACATTTAGTTAAAACCCGACTCCAGGTGCAATAACCTTACTAGTGGTAAAGCAGTTGAATATTGCTTTGCTTCAAAAGCAATCTCCCGTCATGCAGGATTTTTTTTTTTCTCTACATCTGGCACAGGTGAGAGGAGACGCTCTCACCTTCTCCATTAAGGCCCCCCTTCCCCCATCACCCATTTCTCCGTCACAGCTGGTGCTGAAATCCCTTGTCAGATGGTGTTGAACTCTTGGAGTGGAAATGGCCATGTAACAGTGCTCAAACTTGGCCATTGACTGCTAGGCCCGGGCACTGCTATAGGGGAGGAGGTCATATGCTCCCCCATACCCTGGACTGCTACATCAGACATAATGTCAAGCTGTCCTGGGGCTTATTATCAGACGGAGAAACCATTTGCATATTCTGCTACTTCATAGGCAAGAACGGACCTAGTGATTCCCAGCTACACACATTTTATGTAGGTGCGTGTGAGGGCTAGACCAGGATATTCACAAAATGATCGCCTTCATGGCTCAGGGTTCACATACTGTGTATTGAAAAGTCAAAAGTAGTAAAATGGTAAGCACAAATGTCTTTATTTTATATATTCAGTATGTGATTTAGAGCATGACATGACATTACACAGTTAATTTCCATGGCTTGGGTTTGTTTCTCTTGATATATTAGTAATGGGGATAGTTTTAATGGGAATGGGGATTGTTTTATTGCTCAGAAACATTTAACTTGTGCTTCTCTTTCAGTATGAGACCAGAGCTCGGCTGGAGAGACTCTCTGGAAATGCTTCCATCAGCTCTGCTGACTTGTTTGATGAGCAGAAAAAACAGCCTGGAGGTAAGGGGGGGCCATTTTGTTCCGTTTCATAAATGGGCACCCTGCACACAACATTGCTTGCTTTAAAAAGGATACATAATTAAGTGTATTATATATCCTGGCATTGTTGCATTTGGTCACCTATATGCACTATGTTTAAATCGACTCTTTGACTAGGGTACGGATACTCGAGTATTTGCATATTCTTAGCATTGTTGCATTGTGTCACCTGTGTGTAGCATGTGTAAAGTAGGGATGCACCGATACCGAGTATTTGGACGAGTACTAGCCCAAATGCTCTGATACTGGAAGTTCCAGTATCGGAATAAGTATCGGGAAGCAGAGTGGTGAGTCATTACACGCCGCCTGGCTTCCTGATTGGCCAGGAAGCCGTCTCCATTCTCCCTTGTCACCAAGGAGCATGGATCAGGCTTCCCAGCCAATCAGGAAGACAGGCAGTGTGTGTAAAGACTCGCCACCCACCTGCCTGATTGATTGGTCGGAAGCTGGCCAATCGGGAAGCTTGGAGGCGAATCATTACCCGCCCTACGACTTCCTGCTTGGCCAGAAAGCTGGCGCCATGCTTCCTCGTCACCTAATGACGAGGGAGCATAGAGCCAGTTTCCCAACTGATCAGGAAGTCGGGCGGCATGTAATGACTCTCCACCCGGCTTTTTGATTGGCCAGAAAGCTGGCTCCATGCTTCCTCGTCACCTGGTGATGATGAGAGAGCATGGAGATGGCTTCCTGGCTAATCAGGAAGCCGGGCGTTGAGTCATTACAGGTGGCCCAGCCTCCTTAATGGGACTTCCGGTATCGGTGAGTACTGAAAAATATCGGTACTCGAGATTATGGAGTATGGAGATTTAAGTATCTGCATTATTCTTAAGCAGCAAATGTAGCTTTATAACAAGCCCTCGCTGACCGATATAGCTACATGGTCTGTGGAGCAGTTAGTCCTGAATGTTCACAGCAGAAGTATTGAGGTCCTTCTGTCAGCAGCTCAGCTTCCCCTCCCACATTCCACTGTGCCTGCAACTGCAGAGATCCTCGAGGGCTTATTTTAAAGCTAATTTACTGCTTATTAAGAATATGTAAATACTTGAATATTCTGGTCACATGTTCACTTTAAGTGCAATGCTCAATGTTGGGTAACCATTTTCCCACAGAACCACTTATGTCATTGGAGGATGCCGGCAAGGCTTTCCCCAAGGTCCATTGATCTAGGATGTCTTGTGCTGTCGTTGGTTACAAAATTCTTGACAATTAATGTAACATTCATCTTGTGTCTGTGACCAGCTTAAAGTGAACCTGTCAGCCATTTAATACTCAAGTCCTGCTTAAGAGCAGACACTTCAGGATGCCTGCCATTTCCTTTGTTAGCCAGACTATTCTCCTCCTGTGTGCCATTCAAACTCTGGTTTAAGTGGCCTGACTTCAACCCACAAAGTACCAGAGATACACTCTCATTGGGGGCTGTGTTGACGGTTGGCAGGTCTTGGTAGTTCCACTTTGTTAGTAGGGTTTGATGTCTCCTTCAGGACTTTCAGAGACGCAGATGAAGGTGGCTTTTTTCACTTGCATTGTGTTGGCTTCTCTTCTGAAGCACTTTAAAAGTTTCAAATGGCTGAGATGATTTTAAGAAAAGCGCTGTGTCCAGTTTGTGACCCTTAGGCATCTGTTTGCACTTGAGCAGCTCTTCACTGTATATGTCAATGTGCATGCAAAAGCAGTTCCTTGAGTCATGAGTAAGTCCGAGTAGCCAGAAGTACCCAGGAGCATAGTGTGCTTGACTCACTCCTCAGACTTGTGTACATTGGCTCTTAACACGAAGAGTCACTTTGTGACCTTTGACAATATGGATTCTTCAAGTTTAAAGTGAACATCCCTTGTCGCTGATACTGTCCTAGCTGTGAACTCTATTTATGACACAGATTGGTTTAGTGAGATCTTGTTGTAATAATATTTGGTTTTGTCCCATTTCCAGCAAATTACAGCCTGTCCAATGTTTTGCCTTCTGGGCCAGATATGGCGAATCTTAAGCAAGGTGTGAAATCGGTGGCGGGGAGGCTTTCTGTACTAGCCAACGGTGTGATGACAACCATTCAGGTTTGAGTGTTTAAAACCTCTTTTTGTAGGATATTGTTACCAAGTACTATGTGCCCCTCTTCTTGGCATAAAGGCAACTACTGTATATTGTCTAATGAGAAGAGATGAGAAACTTGCTGGACATCTTGGAGGTAAATTATACTATATGGAAGTTTGTGCGTACTTTACCTCCTGGGTACATCATAAATCTTCCTTTTTATTTGAGCTGGCTTAGTGTAAGTGTCCAACAAGCAGAAGTATCCAGCTGGGAAAAACAAATTGATCCAGAACTGAATACCGCAGGAGGAAGTTGGAAAGCTGAGGTGTATGTGTTTTAGGATGACATTTACAAACCTGTTAATTATTCACCTGTGTATCTAAAAAAAAAAAAAAACCCAAAATCCAACACATCCTGAAATCTGTAATTTATCACAGTCTTTGGCACTATTAAGTATACAGTAAATTGTGTGCAGCTTGTGTTCGGCAGCTAATCTAATCTACAACAGGAAGTGTCACCACCATTAGGGACAATCCCACCATTTCTCACTTGCATCAATATGCTTAGTTGTTCTCAAATATCAGGCCTCCATATTAGGCCTCCATATTATCAAATTGGAAATCTGCAGCAGATGGAAGATGTAGCATATAGGTTTGGAAAAGTAAGGCTTGTTCGCACCTAATCCATGCATCTGGTGCATGCACTATTTTTTGCGATTCCCACCGCTGGCATTGCTGTGCCACGTATTCTGATGCGGGAGGCGTGGCTGCGGTGACATTGACTCGAATGGCACCACCACGTCCCCTCCCGCCCCAGAACGCAGGGAGGCCTAATAATGCGATCAGCCACTAACCGTGCTGGAACACACTGATTGTGGTGTGAACAAGCCCTTGAGTAACGGCTAATGAAAGCATAATAAATTGTGTAACTTCAAAACTCTTTTTCTCTCCCGTTCATACTCCTCCTCATTAGCAGGTGTTCTTGAGGCAGAGGCCTTCACAGGAGGGTCTGGATGGTCCTGAGGGGTCTGACACGTGGCCGTGCAGCGTCGTTGGTCGCTGGAGGAGCTCCGTCTGTTGACAACTGTGTTGGGACTTCGGGCGATTCGCTCTTTATCTCCTTCGTTGGTCGGCCCGGCTTCAGGGTCAGGCAGTTTGGGTCCGGCCGGACGACGCCACCGGGCTGGCATACTTTAACCCCCAGGTCGGGAGGTGTTCAGGTTTCTCTCCTGGGGATTACATCCCGGGGGTGGGCAATTTGGCTGGTCAACTACCTCCGTCGAGGGTCGGTGGACCCGGGAGAGTGGTCACTGCACCCGGGAGTTTTCAGCAGCTCTGTCTTCGCTGGGGGTCGCTGGAGGTGGATCTTCTGGCGTCTCGGTTCAACCGGGAGGTGGACCGCTTTGTGGCCTGGGCCCTGGATCCCTGGGCGGAGGCGGTAGTTGTCCTGGTGGCTCCGTGGGGTCATTACGGGCTGCTTTATGCCTTGCCTACGGGCTGCTTTATGCTTTGCCTCCACTGTATCTGTTGCCTCGGCTTCTGCGACGCATCGCGGCCGAGAACGTCACCGTCCTCCTCGTGGCCCCGGACTGACCTCGGAGGGTGTGGTGCACGACTGTGGTTCACCTGGTGGTGGACGCCCCGTGGCGGCTGCCCCTGTGTCCAGATCTTCTGTCCCAGGGGCCTGTGTTACTCTTCTTTACAGTCGCTGGGTTTGAGGGCGTGGCTGTTGAGGGCCAGGTCCTGAAGGACTGGGGGTATGTCTGCTGCGGTCATTTCCACTATGCTCGGGGAGCACAATGCGTTTTTAGGAACGCTTCTCATCGCACTTGGAGGGCCTATTTTGCCTGGTGTGAGGCTGGGGCCCTGTCCCCGCGTTTATTCTCCGTCAGCCGAATTTTTTGCAGCGTGGGGTGGCTCAGTGGCTTGCTTTTGAGCACTGTGAAGGGCCGATTCTCTGCCTTGGCGGTGTTTTTCCGGCGTTCCTTGGCGTCTACTGCTCTGGTTTGCACTTTTGTTCAGGGGCCCCGCGCTTTGCACCCCCTGTCCGCTCGCCTTTGGCTTCGTGGGACCTGAATCTTGTGTTTTCAGTGTTGCAGGAATCTCTGTCTTGAACCGCTTCGGGAGATTCTGCTTATGTCCTTGGTCACAGAAAGTGACCCTTTTGGAGGCCTTCACCGTTCGGCGGCTGTCTACATTGGCTGCAAGTCCCCATTGCTGGTCTTGCATGGGGACGAGGAGGTTCTCCGTCCTCGGCCGGCATTCCTGCCGGTGGTTTTGTCGGTTTTCCGTCTGAGTGAGGACATTGTCTTACCTTCCCTGTGTCCGCTGCTGGTCCATAGGAAGGAGTGGGCGCTCCTCTGTCTGGATGTGGTTCGCGCTCTCCATGTTTATTTGGGTGCTGCGGCTTCTTTCTGCAAGGCCGGCTCTCTGTTCGTGCTCACGGTGGGCCCTCGTAAGGTCCGGGCCGCATTGGCGGCTACCATCTCTAGGTGGATTCGTACTGTTGTGGTTCAGGCGTACGTCGTTAGGGGGCGTGAGCCTCCTTTTTTCCTGTCACTGCCCATTATACTAGGGCTGTTGGGGTTTCCTGGGCTTTCCGCCATAGGGCCTCTGTTTCTCAGGTTTGTAAGGCCGCTACTTGGTCTTCTGTTCACACCTTTTTGTTACGTTGTACGAGGTGGATGTTTTGGCATCGGCGGATGCTGGTTTGGGGCGCAAAGTGTTGCAGGCGACTCTTTGAGGTGTCTTTTGGGTGTTTGGTTGTTGTTGCCCATCCCTCAATGTGTACTGCTTGGTGACGTCCCTACCTTTCAGGATCTACGATCTGTTGCCTGTGTCCTTCAATGAACGGGAGAGAAACTAGGATTTTTGTACTCACCGTAAAAAACCTTTTCTCTCCGTTCATTGAAGGACACAGGCCCCGCCCTCTTTATGGGGTGTACACTCCTAACTGCTTGTTACTAAACTGGAGACTTGTCAGCAGGTGGGGGGTTTGGCCACCGGCAGGGGCCGCCCCTAGGCTGTAATTGGTCTTTAGTTTTGTGCCTAGCGTCCTTCTCCTGCAGGTGGCGATATTACCCTACCTTTCAGGATCTCCGATCTGTTGCCCTGTGTCCTTCAATGAACGGAGAGAAAAGGATTTTACGGTGAGTACAAAAATCCTATTTTTTTTTTTCTTTTTCCCCCCCTCGACTATTGAAGGACACAGGATGTTTTCCCCCTTTGGGTTTTACTGACGCCTACAGGAGGTTTGGACTATAGGCAAATAAAACTAGGGATGCACCGATATTTGGGCGAGTACTTGTACTCGTCCAAATGCACCTTTGCCAAGCCTGATACTTCCGGTATCAGGAAGCCGAGCAGCAAGTCATTACATGCTACCCGGCTTCCGGATTAGTCTGGAAGCTGGCCAATCAGGAAGCCGGGCACTGTGTAATGACGCGCCTCCATGCTTCCTCGTCGCCTCATGATGAGTGAGCATGGAGCTAACTTCCCGGCCAATCAGGAAGCTGGGCACCGCGTCATTACACTGCGGCTGGCTTCCTGATCGGCCAGAGAGCTGCCTCCATGCTTTCTCGCCACCTAGTGACGGGAAGCAAGGGGACAGCTTCCCTGCTAATCGGGAAGCCGGGTGGCGAGTCAATATACGCCGCCTGGCTTCCTTAATGGGACTTCCGGTATCTGCGAGTACAGAAAAAAAAAAATATCGGTACTCGATACCGAAAAACCGGTATCGGGGCATCCCTAAAAAAAAAAAAAAACTATAGGCCAACCCAGGATAACCCTTCCTACTACCAGCATGTCTGGTGTCCTTGGGGGCAGGATGTTACCTTTTCTTCAGCTCTACTGCGTAAAAGACTAACCTAATTTTGCTAAATTAAATCAAGACTCTTCTCTCCACTGCTGCTATAGCTGGTTTAACCGATTGCAGCCATCTGTCGTCAAGGTTTTTAACTAGCATGTAAAGCCAAAACGTAATTTTTTTTTAACCCTAATTCAGACATTCTAAAACGAATTTATCCAAACAAAAGGTGTGTAAAGTCTTAGTTTTGGGGGGGGTTTCTTTAAAAAAATAGAGCTACACACTTAAGTAGAAAAGCCTGCACCCAGTCAGCATGCTGCAGAGAAGGACCTTTTGACCTCTGTGTGGAAGCAGTGGTCTCTCCGCAGAGGACCGACATGCCCCTGAAGAGCCAGAGCTCTCCAATTAGGAGAGAGCATGAGCTTATTGCAGAGCTTATAGCTCTGACTCTGTGGGGGGGGGGGGGGACCTCTGCAGAAAGAGCAAGGGTCCCACATTGCAAGGGACAGACACGTCTACTTGGGCTGTGGCTTTTTTGGGGTTCTGTCTCATTTGAGAGATTTACCTGTGTTTTTATCCCAGAGCTCTTTGAACAGCAGGAAGCATGAGCTTTGGTGATTGCAGATCTATATGTCGAGGGCGGGGTGTCACTTCTCTGCAGGAAGACCAATGTTTCCCGTAAAGAGCAAGGGTCCCTCTCTGCAGCATGCTGGCAGGGGACAGGCTGTTCTACTGAGGCGGTATCTGTTATCTAAAGAAAATGAACTGTAGTACTTTGCAGGCCTTTTTTTATATTTTCTTGCACCTAGAATTTATTCATTTTGCTGATTTAAACTGAAAGTTCAGTTTGTCTTTAATGATCTGCTATTAAATGTCAGTTATTGATTTATTTTCAGGACCGGTATGGCTCTTAATGGCATAAATGACCACTGTGGGCATGAAGACTGGATACTGGCATAACGTACAAGGAAGCCAGGATTCTGTCATTTCCCTCCAGGTTAAAGGGAAACTCCATGGATTTATTGTGCCTTTTTATATTGGATTTGTGCAACACAAAGATGCTGCAGTCTGTTCCCTTTGTCTTATGGATTTTTGGGTTTATAGTTTTCACCAGCATCAAGGGAGACTGACATCTTATTTGAAGGCCTCTACTCTACTACTACAGGGCTTTCAGCTCCGTGTACAGAGGACTGTGACTTGATGGCAAAATATAGTCTGGACTGTTCTAGCTTAAACTTTATTGTATAATATTATAGGCCACTTCGGATGTCCGGCCTATAAAAATGTACACCAAAGAATAGAACACTTTTCCGCTTTAAAGTCTGCTTGACCGAATATCCTTTACACGCTAATAATTTAATATTGCTATTTATCTTATAATTCATATTTTATAATCTATGTCAAGCCTTTTCTTTTCAGGGGAAGTACAAGTCTAAGAATTCTGGGTCTCAAGCTGGCCGTGCATTATGCAAATGTCAGCGTTTTATTTTTTAGGGAACTGTCGCCACTCTTTCGACCAGCATCCCTCGATCAGCTGATCAAAGGAGCCAGTCAGCAAGTCTTTGGACAAACAAAGCAGGCAGCCAATAAGCTGCCAACTCTGGTATTCTGACAGTGGCCGGCAGCTGCTGTCAGAATACCCAAAGAAACTGCGGGGATTCCTTGATGCTCGTAATCTGTTCTGTTCTATCTTTTTTGTTCAGCCCGCGGGTTGAACAAAACAAATAACAGTGTATGGCCGGCTTTATAATTGTAAGACAACTCGAGGAGCCTACAGTAAAAGACACTAGTAGGGGATTATTTTAAGACCAAAGTCACAAGGAATACTCAGGTAGTAGTGCTTATTAGTAGAGCTGCATTGTTAAAATTGGACCAACTATAAGCGCCTTGCTGCATGACAATCATTTTTTATTTTATGCTTGTACAGGCTGACTAGTTATTGCATTAAGTCCCGAGAGGTTCCTGATTTTCATCAGTCAGTCTTTAACAAAGGGCACCTGTCATTTATTATTGTTGGACAATGGGGGGGGAGGAAAAAGGCGACACTTCTGTTTTTTACTGTTAAGATTTTAGTCTATTTTTAAAATGTGATACTCTTGTTACATTTACTTTATGCCTCCGTCCCGTGTTGTTCTTCATGCACCCTTGGTAGTACAAGGATGTGAAACTGTTGTAGTGTGATGGTCACCATGCAGTATAAGTACTGATGTGTCACAATTGGTCATGCTATGAACTGTGTATGGCACAGAAACAGTTGTATTGGAAATAATCTGTGTGCCCCAGCATCTAGAGGGCCGAGTACATTATTATCTGTGGGTAAGAACTTCGACCTTACTGGCATTTTGGGTTTGCATACAGCACTTGTTCAGGTGCAGCGGCACTTCAGCCTGCAGAAATATTGATAAAGGTGCTGCCTAATGCTAAGGTCATTCTAACCTGTATGACTTTAAATTGAAAGTGACCCCTAGATCTATGTTATCAGTGTGTTGGTATCATGCAGCGCTGTATACAGTTTTCTTCAAGTGGAACCCTCCCATCTGCCAAGGCTGGTGCTAGTTAAGCCTTTAGTTAGGCCTGCAGTTGCCATGGTGCTGCACACATGACGGTTATAACACCAGCCATTTAAAGAAGAACTTGACCCCATCTTTGAAATAACAACAAAGTCACCTTTAGAAATGTTTAGTAATAACAATCTACAAACACATACTTCTAGATAATTGCCGGCTTTGCATTCCTTATTTCTTTTCCTCCCCATTCTTCTCACAGTGGCCATTTTTTACTAAGGGCAGATTAATGGATCCCCCTTTACTTCCTGGAACTCTGGCACATGTAACTAGGACATGTGACCCAGGCACATCATCTCAGGGGAAGAAAATGCCTTTCCCTGAGATCTGGTGAGATTACAGATGAGATTTCCCAGCAATGCTCTGCTGATATAACCTTCCCAGGATGCAATGCTTGGGCACATTACTTCACTAATACCCAAGAGTACCAGGAAGTGGAAAGAGTCATTGTAAGCAAAAGAAAAATGTTTATTGATGTAAGATTTCATATCGGCTTGTGTGATATTTAGTGAAATGGGTGCAGGTCTGCTTTAAGAGCCTGAAAGATCAGTTGAGAGTTGACATAAGACAATTGAAACTGCGACCATTATCACCAGAGGCATACCTTGGATGCGGCATGCACTGTGCATGCTCTAGTAGGCAGAATGCAAACTCTGCAGAAAACAATATTGGTTTGTTTGATTAGGGATTTTCTTACATTTATTGAACAGAGAAGTATTTCTTTTCACATCGAACCCTCCCACATCCTAATCCTCTGGAGCAGATCAGAAACCTCAATGCAGAACATGTATATAAAATAGGGGCTGGAGAGAACTGCATTGTGTAAAATATCCTCAAACCTTTGTGACTGAACCTTACACTCTCTCCTCTGCAGGATTGTTTCTGTAAAATTGATATTTTATGTTCACCTGTGGCAGCCAATTTTCTTTTCTCTGAGTGCACAGTCTTGGTGGGAACACATTTGGAGTTTTGCTGCAAGCTGGTTGCGTCTTCACCACTATCCATAAACAATGTAACAGCTGCCATTGGCTGCAAGTGGGCAGAAGTGGTTCTTTGACCCATACTGAATGACTCCTCCATTCTAAAATGCCTTTAAAGATTTTCAGACGGTTTACATTTTATCAGGATATTCCTCTTGGTTCTTATGTTTTAAATGTGAGATCCTGAAATCATGTGATGGAGTTCAGTTTCCATCACCCATACTGACTTGCAGTTCTTGCCTGTGAGCGTGGCCACCATTGGATCAGATAACACAATCTGCTGACCTGCTTGGGGGTGCTCAAGGACTGGTATGAAGAAACATTGTTTTCGGAGAGAGTGCGTTACAAATCTAATATGAGAGAGTGCAGCAAAAGAACAAAATGAAATGCAGGTAAGAGCCACAGGGAAAGAAATCACTTCGTGAAACAAGTTCTGAAAAATCATCCCAAATGCTATTCTTCCAAGCCGTTCAGATTTCAGGCCCATATTCAATGACATTTTTGTTTGTAGTCACACTTCTATGGTCTTTCTTCTTTCCTTGCTGCACTGAGTTTTCTCAGCATGAGCCTGATTCCTTATACTCCATCATAATACAAAATGGCAGAGAAAACAACTGCTACATATATTGAGCAGATTCAAAACCGACCCGATAGACCAGAATCTGTAGAGGTATTTGCTGGACCCAGATAGAGAAACATCAGCTCTCCAGCTTCTATAACATCCCCGTGCTCCTCAGTACATGACTGTACGTTGCTTGATGGATTATTATGGTGTAAATACATTTTCAATAACTAGGAGGCTTTTATGTCGGAGTCACACTTGTGTCGCAGCAATGTAAGATGAAGCATATTTTTATTACCACGTGTTACCATAATGACAGATTTGGTGTCAGTGCCCATAATTTCAAGTGGCACCCCAGGGGCGCCACTTGAATCTGTCTATTTTTCATGCGTTGTAGTGTGTTGGCAGCCCATTTAAAATGAATGTTGACTTACTGCAATGCATGTTAATTCAGCACATGTGTGTGAAGGGCCCTAACACAGCGGGAGACGCTTATATCTTCACTACTCCTTATTGAATGATTTTGCTTGGATGACTTTATTACCTTGTACACGGCCTACTGCAGCTTTCAATAGAAGCTAGTCCTTAGCATGGGAAGCTAAACACTACAGCGAGTCCACAACAGCTGACTGTCCTCCAGACAGGGGGGGGGGGACTATATACATTGTAGTGTCTCTAAAGATAATACAAGTCAGATCTAGCCAGATTTTAGGACGGATTAGGAAAGGTTACAACCCCTGCCAAGATTTAATTTCTGCAACCATATGTGTAAGGTTACCCGTACTTCCTGTGCAGGTGACTGATGGTACCTGGGACCGGAAGCTAGGGGAAATTTCTCTCAAATGGCAATAAAGATACATTTTTATTTGAGTAGGGAGGAGTTTATCAGATCTTTCTAGTGGTGTCCCCAGTGGGGAGATTTCCCCTCACTTCTTGTCTCAGTGACTGATGCCACCTGGTAGTAAGATTATTTCCCTATCATGAACACAGAAATAACACTTGGCACAGGTCCTAACCATCCCCAAATCTGTTTTACATTTTGTGTATCCCTCTCACAAGAAGAAATGGCTACACTCTTGTCATCGGCTCTAGTTTGGACCACCAATTGTCCTATAGGGAATCTTCCATGCCAAATCACATCACCCGGGTAGGCAGCTATCCAAATTCAGATGGGCTGATCCTCGGATATATGCAATAGACGGACAGCGTCTGCTCTACGTGTGTTAACCGTTATTAAAATAATAGTAAAATCGAGAGCTCAATTCTACTCGCATATACCGTCCGAATGATCAGCATATAATTCCTCAGTCCAATGTGTATGAAGCAACGAAGATGTTGGCCAACAAGTAGGGCCCCTTGGTAGATGAGTATGTGCAGATACAGCTAACACTTTTCATGGGTTAAACCCTCTTCATCAGAGCTTATAAATTGTCCTCAATATATGGATACCAAGACCCAAGCACAATTTATAAGCGCTGAAGAAGAGGGTTTAGTCCATGAAACACATTAGCTAGCACGTTATCTGCAGATACTTGTCTACCGAGGGTTCCTACTTGTATTCCAACATCTTTGTTGCCTTCATGCACATTGGACTGAGACATTATATGCTGATCATTCAGACAGTATATGCGAGTAGAATTGATTTTGTTTTAATAAATTAGACACAGAGCAGGTGCTTGTTTGTCTATTGACTTTTGTGTATCACTCTGCTTACTAGTGGCTTGTTTTACAAATGTCCACCCTCTAGTGGTCAGATGTTGCCTTGCAGGAGCTTAAAACATACCCAAGATCAGCTTGTAGCTGTGCTTCTGTCTCTAATAACTTTACCATTTTCTCCCAGTAACAATTTCAATTAAAGACTATT